TGGAACACTGCTATGACGTGTCCCCGGGTCCTTCTCTTCACTAGACTAACCATGCCCAATTCCTGCAAACATTCTTCATATGTTTTAGCCTCCAGCCACCTAATCATCTTTGTTGCTCTTCCCTGCATTTTTTTCAGAGTCTCAACATCTTTTTTATATTGTGTGACCAAAACTGGATGTAGTATTCCAAGTTTGGTTTTACCAAGGCAATATAAAGCAGTAGTGTCACTTCGTATTATCTTGATTCTATCCCTCTGCTAATGCAGCCTAGGATTCCTTTGGGGTTTTTTGGCACCTGCAGCACACTTCTGGCTTATATTTAAGTGATTGTCCACTAGGATTCCAAGATCTCTCTTGTAGCTACTGCTGTTGAGCCAAGTTTCATCTAATCTATACCTGTACATTTGGTTTTGCTTGCCTGAGTGTAAAACCTTACTTTTTCTAGATTGAATTTCATTTTCTTAGTTAGGGCCTAAAATTCATCTCTATCAAGATCGATATGGATCTTGAGCCTAACTTTTCTGGGGTGCTGGCTATCCCTGCCAGTTGTTCTAATCTGTTCTATTCTAAATATCCTGATTTTGTACTCAACTCACATTTTGAACATTAGGTCAGGCTCTTGATTTCCAATTAAATCATTTTATTCTGGAATGAAGAGCATTAGCAGAGCAGAAGGCAAGTTGCTAAAGCAGCCAGGAATAATTTGGCTGGGTAAAGACACTATTTGGTATCAGTGGTGTCCCTTGTTTCTCGTTTAGCAACAAAGTTTAGTATCATACAATTGTTAAACATTTAATCATCCCCGTAGGGAAAAACTGGTTGGGAAAGCTATTGCCACCAAATTCCAAACTGACTTGGCAATAGAACTGAAGAAACACCCTGTACTGTTTCAAGGAATTGAGTTCATCCCTTCAGCCCAGCTCTAGAAGGCTGCGTTGCTGAAGTATAAAAGCCATGTGATTTGATTGTCAATCGGAGAATCTGTACATCTCATTGTGGTAACTGTCCCCCTCTCCCAAAACAGTATGTTTTATCTGTGAATTACTGATAGGCAAAGTCAACAGAATATAGAAGTAAAACTTTGGGCAAAAGGTCAAACCAGAGCCCAGTCATAAACCAGAAGTTGTAAAAATCAGGCAGACCAGAGTTTCTAGTGTGTGGAAAAATAGGTACACAAGTTGAGCGAACATGTTTGAAATCATTGAAATATGTCAAGAGGGAGTTCTTAAAAAGGTCACACCTTGTGCTCTTCTGTAATTGGAATTGGTTCCTTTTGAGAAAGGTGTTTGCTTTGCTTTATTTCCTAAAGTATGAAGGAAGGTTTCTGGCTATGTTACTTAAAATTCGAAGTTTCACCAGGCCCTGAATAAATTCGGAGTCCAGTTTGCAAACGGCTCACTGGGGGTTAGTTTGAAGCTCATGCTCAGATTCAACAGTTCTGACTAAAATACTGAAAGCATAGGCTTTCTAAGGCAGCTAAGGATTCCTAAACAACTGATTCATATGAAAATATTTGAATCATGATGTCATAATATGGACAGAGTGACTATAAATATTTACATGGCGATATCTGCGCTGATCCAGCAGTTTTTGAAAAGTAACGATGTGGAACAATGAATATTGGTTACTTTCCCTGATGTTAGTGCAATCGTCTACAGAGGCATCTTCCAAAAGACAAATGGGAAAGGGTAAGATGGAATCTAGTGGGAAAGTTAATGACATTGCTGAAAGCTATGAAAGAATTTGCCTAGACTTTTGACCATTTGTCAAATTGTCTTTTTCCTGAAATAAGGCCCCAAAGGTTTTTCGTACTTTGTCAACATGACATCTCAGCCCAGTCCAATAATCATAAGAGTCCAGAGATTTCATGCAGATCTTAGAGGTTAAATGTACAAGGAACCTGTGCAGCTGGCAGCCTTAGACAATCTGCATTAAGCTTGCATGAAGTCAGAACATGTTCTTCATTATCATGTGAGGAAACTATGACATAAGCCAAATCTGTACCCTGTGGCTTTTTAACTTACTGGAATCTCTTTTCTTCATTTTCTGTTGCTGCTGACAGTTTTTGATTATGCAATTATGAATTGGGGAAAAAAAGTGAATTTGAGGCTGGGCAGACTTCTGTTGGCTGAGGCCAGTTGAGGAATCACCCTTCTTCCGCTAATGGACCTTTGTGTAAGGAGCTGACATTAGAAAATACTATTTCTGACCATGTTCAGGATATGAATCATGTCCTTTATCCAGTCATCATTTCCCTTATGACATTTGTTCCAAAATGTAATTAAGACATTGTGATTTGGAGATGAGTTCCTTTAAAAAAAAATTCTTCTATTCTTCAAAGCACATTTAATCCTGGGTATCATTCCTTCTTCCATAGATGAGCTTTTCAAAAGTGGCAATTTTGTCTAGAACCAAATGCTTTTCCAGCAGGTGTTTAAAGCCACCCTACATGTGTTGGATATTAAACATGTTGCTTGTCCTAGAATTCTCCCTTTGAGAGGCAATTTGCTTAAAGCAGTGATGGCGAACCTTTTAGAGACTGAGTGCCCAAACTGCAACCCAAAACCCACTTATGCATCATTGAGTGCCGGGTGGGTGTGACCCATTGGCTGGATGTGGCCAATTGGCTGGATGTGGCCAATTGGGTGGGCGTCGCTGCAGTGGTAACAGCAGACTGGGTGGGACTAAAAAGTTCAATCAATCGATTCCAACTTTGCAGGATCTTTTTTTTCCCTGCGAGGTTGAAATTGCCTGATTGAACCTTTTCCTTTTTTGCACATGGCAGCAGAGGCCTAAAGCAAAAAGGTTTTATAAAACCCAGCTGAAGGCCTAGGACTGAGGCGACGGCGCACGTGCCCACAGAGAGGGCTCTGAGTGCCGCCTCTGGCATCCGTGCCATAGGTTCGCCACCACTGGCTTAAAGGCTCAGATTGTTGAGGTAAGGGGTAAGACGAGGGATCTTCAAACTTGGCCCTTTTATGACTTGTGGACTTCAACTCCCAGAATTCCTCAACCAGCATGCCTGGCTGAGGAATTCTGGGAGTTGAAGTCCACAAGTCATAAAAGGGCCAAGTTTGAAGACTCCTGGGTAAGATAGATCTTGCCAAGATTTAGGAGAATAGGTCATCCACTGGTGTTTTCAGGCGTCTTGTTAGCCTTGCAGCTGTGATTCCATGGTTTTCTAGCAAGTAAGTGTATTCCCCAAAATGTCTGCCTGACCCCACATTTCTTTAGAGATAGAGGCATTAAATGATCCATTATTCAGAACTTGATACAATTATTTTCTTCATCCTTGCTGTCTGAATTTAAATGGGGATCTTACCCACTGCTTGATAATAGAAATGCTTAATCAATTTCAGGCACAGACCACGCTTCCAAAAAGTATATTAAGCCAAGAGAAAGAAATAGGGGGCAATGGAGAAAAAAATTAATTTGATAGATTTTATATACTACTAAAACTCTTGTGTTTATAATCTTTACCTGGGTGAAACAGAGCATCATAGAAGAGAAGGTTTTGAACCAAGGTACCTCAAATGGGCTAGTCTACAAAATGCTGGGACCCATGACTCCCGAAGAAATGAAATATGGGAAAGTTGTTGCTGTTTCAGTACTGCAGGGCTGCTGCTGCTGCTTCAGCATCACCACTACACTGTCACTTTCACCTTCCCTACATCTCATTCTTAGTGGTCCTTGGCAGTTTCCCACAAGTCCAAGAGAGCACCAGCCCCTTTGTTCTTGCATCACACTTCCTTGCTCTCTTCCCCACTAGTAGCAGCCACTTATCTGCCTGCTGGGAAGGGAAGGGAAGGGAAGGGAGGGAAAGGAGGGAAAGAAAGAAAGAAAAAAAGAAAGAAAGAAAGAAAGAAAGAAAGAAAGAAAGAAAGAAAGAAAGAAAGAAAGAAAGAAAAGTATTCACTGAATCATAAACTAACCATTCAGGCTTACTTTGTACCACGGATTAACTGTGGAACTCAGACAATCAGAAACTCACTTTCCTCTTTAAAAATTGACTGTTTGTGTGTATGTGTGTGTGTAGCATGTGTATATGTGTGTTATGTATGGGTATGGGTAGATATATACTTTCTTTTCAGAGCAAGCAACATAATTTCATTTTTAATATGTGCCACTGTGCTCATGGTAAAAAATGACAATAAAGGTTATCTTATCTTAATAAGTTTAGACACGAGGGATGGAGCTTTTAAGAGCTATAATCAAGGCTACTTCTGAGAAAAAAGTGCCTAGTAACCTTAAGTGGATCTCTTGGACTTGTACCCAAGATTTTGAGTTGGGAAGAAGAAGCACAGTTCCACAGCCTCAGTGTATGAATCCCTGCAGTGGTGGGATTCAGCCAGTTTGCACCAGTTTGGCAGAACCAGTAGCTAATTTCTTGTTGCCCAGGCCCAGAATGGACATCTGGAAGCAGCATCCATACAGAGAACTGGTTGTTCACATATTTGAATCCCACCACTGAATCCCTAGCATAAAACAATTTTATTGAATGAGTAGCAAAATTGTCAGGGTGTAACAGGTTGTAGCTTGGTTATGTGCCATACTCCCCCTCCCACTATCATCTTAAGCATATTTCCAGTTTATAGGAAGCCAACAGTTGTGGCTTTCACGCATCTTGCTTTTGCAATGCTTCCAACCAAAAATTGTAGAGGAAAAAAATGAGAATGATTTCCTGTTTTGGATCAGCATTGGAATCATTCCCATTTATCCTGTTCCATTTATCACTGCTTTCTGCACTGCCCAGCAAAAGTCTCCTTTTTCCCATCTAGCAACATGACAATTCAACAGTCAAATTTGGGGAAATTTTATCTTGGCAGTAGAGTTTGTGGAGATGCTAAAGGTCTGGATAGGAAGTTGTGTGCATCTCAAAGGCAGAATGTCATGGTAAATTAACCAAGAAAGTTGGAGGTGGATTAAGCTAAAAATTGGGGATGGATTACTCTAATTAGGTTTGAATTAATTACTTTATCTTGTTTAGGAGATGAAGTAAAATGCAGCACACGACGTGTACAGAGGACAGGATCCACCATGCATTGGAGAGATGCCTCCATGGCCTTAGCAAAAGCACATTTTCTGCAAGTACATGGACAGGTAAGTAAAAAAAACTTTTACTTACTATTAGCAAAGAAGTACTGCTAGTATAAGATACTACTAGTACTAGTAAAGAAGTACTAGTAGTGTACTAAAACTACTAGGATGCAGGTTTTGCTGAGCGGAAGTCATAGCTGATTTTTGGAGCTATGTACTAAAAGTAGTACATAGTTGGGAGAAAATTAAAATTCTTGTACTCTAAAACAATAAAAATGTACAGTGAGTTTTATTACTCCCCAAGTATGAATTCATTTATCTCTCCTCCCCTTCAAAATTAGAATTTAGTGACAATTTGGAGGATGGCTTTCATAGGATGCATAGGGCCAGTGTGCTCTGAACTGAACATAACTATTTGGAAAGAGGGTGTACCTCCTATAATACTGGTTTATGCACATTTTAATATAAATAACAAACTACTATTACTACCCCTCTTATCCATTTCTATTCTAGGTTAAAGTTCTTAAGAGCCTAGCCAATAATCTAGTAAAAATGTCTCCTTGACAGCTGGGGGAATGTGGTAAACACTGAATGTGTGCTTGGGTACTTTGCTCTAGTATCACAGGTGTATTTTTGTGTATTTTTGTGATGCTGCAAGTTTCAATAGCAGCAAGGTCACCACAAATACTAGTTCCAAAGGTTAAGCTAGGCAAAACATCCTTGGGAGTCAAACAAGGTCAGAATAGCAAGGGGAATGTTGTTTACAGATGGGACTTTAGTGGTGGGAATTTTTCTTGATGCTTCAAAAGAAGGAAGAAGACAACTTTGTGGTAGTATTACCAATGCATTTGAAAATTGAAATTCCAGTTCCATAGCTTCAGGTTTTGTATTTGATATGAATGGCATTGAGATAATTTGTTGAGCTTTATATATGGTGGTTGAATAGACTTGTGTAGCCTTCTGTTCCATTTTTCTTCTTTGACTAATACTATCGAAAGTGTCTAGAAATCGCAAAACTGGATTTCATCTTCTTTGCCCTTCCCTTGATTCCTCTAGACAGATTTTTTTTTTTAGACATATTGGCTTACTCTCATCATTGAGAGAAGTTAAGAGCAAAGAGAGACGCTTCCACTTGAGGGCTAGATGCACCAACCCTAGTTTAATCCAAAACCTGGGCATTTCTAAATCCTTCCCACATCCATGACGTGCCAATACTGGAAGGCAATGTTCAGCAGGATTGTCTGTCCTGCAGGTGTGTTGCCTTCCTTTGCAGGAAAGATCTAATGTTGTTCTGTTAGTCAGTGAATCCTCACTTCAATTTCCAGAGCTTTAGGAGAGAGAAATCAGCACCATTTCCCCAGGCACTACTATTTTTCAATGCGGGTTAATGAGTAGCACTGTGTGAACGCTAGTCAATATTTTCTGAGCTCAATGCCCTTGATAGAAAGAGGAGATTTCTCACTCTAGCAAGTTTCTTTCTTCCCTGCTCCTTGTTTTTCTTATATTTGTTGAATGCAAATGCCTCCAAATCTAATCCAACTATATTTAGGAGTGAACAATTTCTTTTCTGCCCAAAAGCTGTGCTCTTTTTTTGAAATAGGACTCTGCGGGTTGCAAGTATACCTAATGCTAATGAGGAGGGGGGGGAGTCACTGGAAGATGCGGGGCCTGTTCGTTTGATTTTATTTATTTATTTATTTATTATTATTTATTTATTAATTGAATTTTTACCCCGCCCTTCTCCTTACGGACTCAGGGCGGCTGACAGCCTGATAAAAAACAAATACAAAAATACCCCAATTTAAAAAACATAATTAAAATGAAATATTAGATTTGGCCAATAACAATTTAAAATTGTTTTTAAAACCCCGCTAAAAATCTCCCCCTATTTTAAAAATAAATAGGTGTAGTAAGCTTAATGAGGCTTTAACTTCTCTGATTTGTTCATTATGTCTTCAGTACTGATGCAGACACAATGAGAAGCAGGTAGGGTTGGAGCCTTTAGTATAGTTTCTTCAGGTCCATTTGCAACTAATAGAAAGGGGAAAGAAATAATATATGATATGGGCAGGGGATGATCAGAGAAAAGGAGTTGGGGAAAAAGAGACTCCTAGATGTTTGTGCATTCAGGCTGTTGCTTGAGGCTTTCTTTGTTGTTAGTTGCGAAGTCGTCTCCGACCCATCGTGACCCCATGGACAATGTTCCTCCAGGTTTTCCTGTCCTCTACCATCTTCTGGAGTCCATTTAAGCTCACACCTACTGCTTCAGTGACTCCATCCAGCCACCTCATTCTCTGTCGTCCTCTTCTTCTATTGCCCTCAATCTTTCCCAGCATTAGGCTCTTCTCCAGTGAGTCCTTCCTTCTCATTAGGTGGCCAAAGTATTTGAGTTTCAACTTCAGGATCTGGCCTTCTAAGGAGCAGTCGGGGTTGATCTCCTCTAGGACTGACTGGTTTGATCGCCTTGCAGTCCAGGGGACTCACAGGAGTCTTCTCCAGCACCATAGTTCAAAGGCCTCATGGTCCAACTTTCACAGCCATACATTGCAACTGGGAAAACCATGGCCTTGACTATACATACTTTTGTTGGCAGGGTGAGGTCTCTGCTTTTTAGTATGCTGTCTAGATTTGCCATAGCTTTCCTCCCCAGGAGCAAGCGTCTTTTACTTTCTTGGCTGCAGTCCCCATGGATTACTGCCTTGTGGTGGTGAAGGGGCTTGCATAACTCAATGAAGCTGTGAGCTATGCCATACAGGTCATAGCAGAGAGTTCTGACAAAATGAGGCTTCCTAACCACCCTAATAATTTACACTGGTAGTATCAAGCAGTTCTGAATACTTTTGCATTCATATGCTGAATGCAAAAAGTTGTGCATGTAGAAAGATATGTGCATGACCTTTTGTTTGTAGTATTTTCCAATAGCAAGCAGTCCTAGTGTGATAGGGGAATAGAAAGAGAAGATGCATCTACTGTATCCACTTGGATATATATGTCACTAATTAGAGGGAACCCACAGCCTGTTGTTTTTCATTCTGGCCAACTGAAACCTCCTCAGAATTCTCCGGTACAGATTTTTGTTGTTTGAAGGGATCTGCAAATGAACAGAATTGCCTAGCATTGAAAAATGTCCTCAACAGTCTGAATTAGATGGGGTTTTGCCATTTCAGTACATGCATCGTATTTCTAATGTCATTTTTACATGTGATTGTCAGTTATTTCCATAATGTACCCTCTTGCATTTTATATCTTGGCTGCCATCAGTCTAAAATACTGACCTTAGAAGGTCAGGGGCTTCAGTCAGTATTTATGGCAATTTCTCAGGGTAATTGTCTGCTTTAATATTGGCAAGCCTATGTCTTACTCATGGGTGGAACCTTGATATTTACAGCTCCCACAATTGTTTTCAACAGTTGCTGGTTGCAACCTTTGAGCTGCTCTTACATGACAAAGAATCGAGAGAGGAAATGCTAACCACAGATGCCAAGTTAAGGATTTAACATTTGCCAGAGGACAATATAATTCTAAGAAGAACATGCCGCATTCTGAAAAAATATCTCCCCCCTATATCAGCATGCAGCAACATGAATTCTGCCACCCACTCTCACCCAGCTATAAATTTTTATGCATTCAGAATGTATAATTTGACACTTTGAGCACATTTACAGAAAAAAAGGGGCTATTTTGTCCCCTGGTATCTTCAATTAGGGTAGGAAAAATTCTTACCTGAAATTTTAGGAAGATGCTGCCAGTCAATGCAGCAATACTGAGTTACCTGAACTCATGGGCAACATCTTAAATTACTTTCTATGGGTTACTGGATTTAGAGCAGGGGTCTTCAAACTTGGCCCTTTTATGACTTGTGGACTTCAACTCCCAGAATTCCTCAGCCAGCGTGCCTGGCTGAGCAATTCTGGGAGTTGAAGTCCGCAAGTCATAAAAAGGGCCAAGTTTGAAGACCCCTGATTTAGAGGCTTGTTTAGCACAGGTGAACTAAAGATGAAGCTGTTTAAAATAACTTAAGAAATAGACACTGACCTGCCCGGTGGTTGTATACCATAGTTGCCTTTCTGATATTCATGTTGATAGGATTAACCTTCACTTTGCCATTTAAGTTATCAATAATTAGTCTGTGTGGTAATATTAATTACTGTTACTATACATGTTTCAAAATGGCATGTACAGTTTTTCTGCTTTGTTCTCAGATCAACCCTGCTATTCAGTGGATAGCCTCAGATCATCTCCAGAGCATCATACCTGAATGAGGGTTTTAACTCAAGTCTCTGATTCCCACCTGGACTGATTTTTGTCCCTCGTCCAAGGATTAGTCTAAATATAAAGACATTCCCTCTGTGATTTTAAGAGGCAGGATAGCCTTTTCCTATCCTTTATCTGGCCTATCCTGCTTTCATCTGGCACACTTGCCTTGCTGCTCTGAGTGACAGATGGAATGCACACTCAGGTTAAAAAGGGCTTACCTTGTGGGTTTGCGTAGTATCGATGAGTATAAATAGCCCACGACTGTGCAGGGCAAAAGATCTGATCCTATGTTCTGGAATGTGCCATAACTCCACCTGCAAAATCTGCTGAGCAAGCAGACTCCTTTAGAGAAGACTCCTTCTGCTCTTTAATTTGTGGTATGATTGGATATTCTCTATTTTTCCTCTCTTCCAAATAGCTGGGCTTTGTCTGAACTGCTGGAGCCTCCAGGAGCTAGTCAGCCGTGATGCCGGGAACTACCTCATTCTCCTGGAGAAAATCCTACAGAAGACTCAAGAGGTAAATCAAAGGAAAAGATGAGAAAGAAAATAAGATCTGACCACCTTCTTGCTCATACAGTTACTTTGTTTGCATTGTAGAACCCTCTACAAAAGGAAACTTGGATTCATCTTGTGCACTAGCATCTAATGAGGTTATCTAACTGCCTAGCTGAATCCTTTTTGGAATTGATGCCATCTTTATTGAGAGACATCTGGTCTAAGTAGATTTTAAGAATTAGTTTGAAGCTGTCAGTTCTGTTTTCTGCTGTGCTGGAAACAGCAGCTAAAATCAGAGCTGTGTCAGGTAGGACTCAGAAAAGTGTATTTTTTAAATCTATCCTGCTCTGAACTACAGCTTCTGATATGGGGCTACTGTCCTATTATAGGCATTAAAATCTGTTCCATCGATTGAATGCCCCCCTCTCCTTTTTCTTCAGATAATATGTTTTTGTGAAATGGGCAGGTCAGAAAGAGAGGTCTCAACTTTCTAGTTGAAAAAGGAACTTGCTTTGATTCTGAAACAAGGTTAGTTCAGTGCTACTGAATAGGGATTAGCGTAACAGGACTTCCAGTGAATCCATTTCATATCTTCTGTACTTGTTTTTTTTTATTTATTCTTTTCTTCCTGTCAGTGACTTCCTGGTTCTTTAATAGAGCCTTGCCCTAGCTATTTTTGAGTTTCTTGTGATTTAGAAATAGTTTTTAGTTCAGAGTATATAAAGCTGAAGCAAATCACAGGTGTGAATCCATTAGAAGAAAGTTTCCCTTTCATCTGTACAAGGCCATGGAGTTTAATAAAAATTCACATCTGGATCATATGAAATAAACCAAAACCTCCGAAACCACTCAAAGTCCCGTTTCCCTTTTTAAAAACCAAATTACTGTGTTATGGTATGGGAAAAATATTAAAGAGATGACTTGAAAGTAACCCTATTAAATATTTGTAATTTTAATCCAATGAAATTAAATGAAATAAAGTTTAGTTTGGTCTTTCAACCCCACTCAGAACTTTCTGAATGTAGCCCCTGGCATGCCATTCGGTACAGCATTTGTTCAATTCAGCCTTCTCCATCTTGATTCCACCTTCACCTTATATGTTGAACTCTTACATCTATAACTCCCAAGGACGTTTCCCCCTGTAATTCATTTTATAAAGTTTTGGATGTACAGTTTAAACTTTTGTACTTCTTGATGATGCTATTTATCTGTTCTTTTTCATTTTGATAGCTGTGTATCTTTTTTTACTATGAGGATATTGTTGTTATTACTTTAGTCTTGGTTGGAACCCTTTTTTAATACTGGACGTTTTAAAAGAAAGATGAACAAATATAACAAATAAAGCCATACTACTCTAGCAATACCTTTACTGTAGGCACTGAGCACCTTGGCTCTCAAACTATGATTTAATTCTGATTCCTCCCAGTCCAAGCCATCATGGTCTATGGACACAGAAGCTGAAGATACAGTTGTATAAGATCTGAAGGATCGACAAGCTTCTGCAAAAGGCATCACTTCACTTGGCTGTAATATCTAATACAATGTCAGAATTAACCGAGTTGGAAGGGACTTTGAAGGTCTTCTAGTCCAACCCTCTGCTCAGGCAGGAAATCCTACACCATTCTGGACAAATGGCTATCCAATCTCTTCTTAAAAGCTTCCAGTGATGGAAAACCAGAAATATCTGGAGGCAAGCCATTCCACTGATTAATTGTTCTCGCTGATAGGCAATTTCTCCTTAATTCTAGGTTGGATCACTCTTTGATAAGTTACCATCTGTTACTTCTTGTCCTGCTATTAGGTGTTTTGAAGAATAGGTTGACCCCCTCTTCTCTGTCACAGTGTCATTGTTTTTCCAGCTAGTACCACTATCTAAAAGAGGTGCTGAGAAATTATGTTGAGTATTGTACCAGAGCTCAGAATTACCATTCAAAAGTGACTTATCATTGGAATAAGTACCCTACAGGCCTGGTCCACACGTTACATCACAACACACAGGCTTGTGTTTGAAACAATGTGTGAACCTAGCTCTTCTGCTCTGTAAACCAAAGATAATGGTTTGTGGTTTAGTATAAACTATAGATTATTTATTCAACACATTGTATTATGAAATATATTTTAGAATAATGTGTAAAGCTCTGCAGAGTGAGATGAGTATTGCTTTTAATAGATTTTCTTTTAACTAACTTACCAAATTATATTTCAATTTTTTGTTCTTTGTTTTTCTTTTTTATGAAGGTCCAAGAGAAATGTGACTACAATCTCTTTACTCCATTGGCCTTTCTCTTCAGTGCAACTGTCCTGTGTGTAAGTTTGGAGCTTAAAGCTTGCAATTCATACTCTCAGTAGTCAAGCCTTTTGATGGTGACTCACTGTTGATTTTTTTTTTAATTGATGGGATTGTGGGCCTAATCTATCATGAAGGTGGGTTGTGAGTAACTACCACTGGTCCCTGTGTTTGCTGAAGCATAATGAAAGAAATGTCAAGCAATATCATCAGAGTTAGAGGTTCTGCTTGAAGAAGTCACAGTAAT